CCACTCAGTGTACATTCTAAAATGTTTAAACCGAAGGTTTTCGGACCCCCTACTTGCCATCCGATTCATAAACTTAGATACATAATGCTTTAGAAATATTATGTGTGCACATTTTTTTAAACAGTTTTGCAAAACCTCAAAAACTTGTATCTGTTCCTAAATTCTTTGATTTTTCTAGCAAAAATAAATATTATATGTATTTCAAAAATTCACCCATCAGGCTTTTACTAGCACATTTAGAACAAAAGTGAATTTTTAAACCGTTTTTGTTTCAGCTGAAACTGTATTAGTTACTTTATTAGTTTTTTTTTTAAGTTAAGCACAAAGCTACACAATAGGCTATCTGTGCTATGCCCACAACGGGTATCGAAACCCGGTTTCTAGCGTTGTAAGTCTGCAGACATACCGCTGTACCACTGGGGGGCTTTTTTCTCTGCCCACCACGGGTATCGAAACCCGGATTCTAACGTTGTAAGTCCACAGACATACCGCTGTGCCACTGGCGGGCCTTTATTAGTTACTAGTTCAAATGAGGAAAGTGTTGATATCGTACTGAAATTGTGAAAGATACACTATTGTTGGTCCGGCATGGCCAGGTGGTTAGGGCGCTTGGCTCGCAATCTACGGGTCGCGGGTTGGAGTCCCCGTCACACCAAACATGCTCGCCCTTTCAGCCGTAGGGGCGTTTTAATGTGACAGTTAATCCCACTATTCGTTGGTAAAAGAGTAGCCCAAGAGTCGGCGGTGGGTGGTGATGACTAGCTGCCTTCCCTCTAGTCTTACACTGCTAAATTATGGACGGCTAGCGCAGATAGCTTTCGTGTAGCTTTGCGCGAAATAAAAAAAAACAAACACTATTGTTTCTTTCCTCCTGACACTAGTCTCTACTAAAAAATTGAAGAGGTAGACATGTAAAATAAAATTGCTGTTGTAATTGCAGTACTGTTTATACCGTACTTCCTAGAAAATAAAGCAAAATCTAACTCATATGGCGAAAAGAAAAAGGTTTATACTCATTGTTACATTGTACATTGACAATAATTTTGAAATGGCAAACTATGGGTTGGATAATGTATACAATTATTCAACAACCCAGCTAAAACTTAAAATACAAGTTAGTATTCTTTAATTTGGCTTGCAGCCAAGCGTGGTTTCACCATTTTTGTTAGACTTAAAAACAACAATAAAACTCGTTTTACACTTTAACTTGTTTAACTTCAGAACATGGATTTACTGGAGTATGTCAACTATATAAGGAGGTTCAATAACTTCTCATGTTTATTTATTTTATAAATTAACCTTATAAAGATAAAACTAGTATTGGAACGTTGTGTATCTGTTCATTATGCTACCACCAATTTTTTGCTCACCAATCTATTACTATTAATTTCGTTTAATATACTTTTCTCTTTAGTTTCTCTGAGTTAAAGTACTTTGCAATCATATATCATTGTTGTTGTTTTAATATAGTTGAAATTTAAATGGCACTTTGGGTGATAATTCCTCCCACAGTGGCTCAGCGGCAAGTCTGCAGACTTACGACGCTAAAAATCGGATTTCATTGTGTAGCTTTGAGCTTCACAACAACCATACAAACCAAATCGTGACAATTCAGAACACGAGTGAATTTTATTGCTTCGCAATGTTTCTTTTTTATTTTGTTACTACGTTCCACACTTCAATTTTCAATTTGTTCATGTAAGTAAAGTGTTTCCTCAAAGAAGTGTTATAGCTGAAATGTTAAAAATACAAAATATATATTATTCTGGTGTTAAAATACACATTACTTTAATTTTTCGTACCATCTTTTAGCCAGCATACACTACGTTATTTTTTAAAATGCCGGCCCCTATTTTTTTTACATATGGCTTTCCTTATCCTGTTTTTATTTTTAATATAGCCCCCCACTGCACAGCGGCATGTCTGCGGAGTTACAATACTTGAATCCGGGTTTTGATACCCGTGGTGGGCAGAGCACAGATATCCTTTTGTGTAGCTTTGTGCTTAACTCCAAACAATTTTTGTTTTAGTTGTTCTGCTTACGGATAGTTTAAATATTAGTATCTAACTGTTTAAAGATGAATTTATGTATAATTTAGTACATCGTTGTTCTTTTATTGGGCGGGTTCTTCTAAATTATTTTGTGAAAATAACGATAATAAATTGATCTAGTTCTTCCTTAATATTTTTATATGCCCCCCAGTGGCACAGTGATATGTCTGCGGACTTATACTGCTAGAAACTAGATTTCGATACCCGTGGTAGGCAGTCCCTTGTGTAGCTTTGTGCATAAAAACAAACAACAACATTTCTATAACTTATACGCTACCTTCACTTATATACTTTTGTAACTTTTACGCCTAAGAAAATACAGCGCTAAGTTTACTACGAGTATCTCAAAAATAAACTTATTTGTACACTTTCACGGCTAATCGATCGAATAACTGAATATACGCGATCACTAGCATTGATCCAAATACTTCAATAAATAATAAATATGTGTGGCATGGTTTCTCGGTGCTTCACAAAGTCTCTCAGTCACTTATATATCAAAACATTCTGCCCCCAAGTAGCCCAGCAGCAAATCTGAAAACTTATAACGCCAAAAACTGGGTTTCGATACTTGTGGTGGGCACAGTACAGATAGCCAATGTTATTGTCCAAATTACAACATAGAAAATATTGTTGATAACAATAAGTGTATATATATATATATATACACTTATATATGATATACTAAATTGTAAAAAAAAGTCTATATATTTATGTATACAAACTAAAGTAGAAGTAATGAGACCTAACTATTCTACTTATATACAATAAAACTTAATCATTATAATACCATAAAAATGTATTTATTTCGAAAGTACAAAATATAACGTTGGTGTGTTTGTAGTAGTCTGCTACGATTCTAGTTAAATAAGACTAAAATTGCTAGGAGCCCAGGAAGATCACGTGATTCACTAAGGTTACTCCCATCATACCATCGTGTGTTTATAATAATAGTACCGAGTGAGAACTTGTATTTAGAGGTTAATGTTACTGAAATTGTGGAGAATAGAGAACGGTGGCAAATGCTTTGACAATTTAACCTAAAGTAATTCTCAGTACTACTGATTTGTTTCAAAATCAACAAAATGTAGCTGTAAATCGGTATTGAATTGTGTTGCAGGTTTGTTTAAAAGCCGTGCAAGTTACTTAATTAGTACGGTTTAAAAACATTTTGAAAATAAGCCGCGGTAAACTTGTAAAAATTAATATCTATAAAATTAAAAACGCTGAACTTGAAGATTACTACAATCATCCCTGAGCTAGTAGTAGTAGCGTCAGTGATTAGTATTAAAATATTAAAGTAAAGGTCGTTAAAAGTCAAGATACTACAAATTAATTTAGTTTTAACGATGGCTACAGGAGGAAGCATTAAGCAACAAGGCAGCAAGCTGAAGAAGAAGCATTTTAAACCTAAATACCAGAAAACTAAAGTTTTCCGAGCTAATGAGCCTTTACTTAGTGTTTTCATGTGGGGTATCAATCACACGGTAAGTTTAATGAAATGTAACTTGTAAGTTAATTCAACTGCAAAATATTGTAATTTATTTAGTAATACTAGTACTAGTAAATACTTCAAATAGTAATAATTGCAATGTTAAGTAATATTAATACTACATAATGTATACTGTGTTACGATTAATTCTCTTCCAAAGTATCGGTATTAGCAGTATCTAGTTTGGACCCATAGATTTGTGTATAATCATTTGAAGCTAGTGCTGAACAGCCACTAACTTGTAAGAGTTTTATAGCTGTACTGCTATTTTGAACAGTGAAGCTGGCCTTAAATTTGTAAAATTTGAGTAATCTTCAACTCTAAACTTCTTTTTCTATTTTTTATTTCTAACTTGAATTAAAAGTATATTACATTAACCAAATACATATAGCATTTTGATGACATTTGCCAACATAAGACAAAATAAAAAGTTTATGATAACCTTTTGTAAACTTTATCTGATAGTTTTTTTTATACCAATGCTAATTTTCATTTAGTTCATTCAGAGAGAGACTGCTAGATTTATACATGCAACACTCTTCAAACTTTTGTATTGCAGTATGTTTGCTTAAAAGATACCATACTCAGAACAAAAATAGAATAGGTCTGATAATGGTATACATATTTCCTTAAATCAAGTATGTGATAAATTTCATCTATTTCCCTGTACATTGTTTTGAGTCATATATAACCAGTTGTGCTGCTTGTAGTAGTACTGGTGCTTAAATCCAACAAGTGACTTTCCATTCTTAACATTAGAATATCTCCACACTATGATCAAAGTCAAAAACACACAACACCATTGAACAATTCTAATCACATACACGCATTACATTCTGTCTATCTTCTAAGTAGAAACATTTGCAAAAACAAACTAGCTTCTGTGACATGTTTTTACCCACATATGGTTTCATTTACTGTTAACTCTGTTCAGATGACTCTTGGATATAGAATGACTATTAATTGGGTACTAAACAATCAAGCCATGTCTTAAAAATATTTCTAGGGCACTGTACCAATACCAGCACTCTCAAGCTAATGTCCTACTAACTAAGCTAAGTGTAATAGGGCTCAAGTTCTAAACAGGTAACTATTTTCCATCCTTCCCATTACTGAAGATAAAATGATCCAGAACATTTGTTTGCTAATTCAGAAGTAAATGTTCTTGATCATTTTACCTTCAGTAATTGGCAGTATGGAAAATAATTACCTTTTTGGAACTTGAACTTTATTCAGTTTAGCTTAGTTAGTAGTACATCAGCTTGAGAGTGCTGGTGTTAGTATAGTGAACCTAGAAATATTTCTTAAGACATGCTAGAAAAGAGTAGTTACATACTGAGCAGTTGGGTTTAGCTCATCACAACATTTAAATTTTTCATAATCTTGTCAGTAATTTACTTTGAAAGGTTAATAAAATACTTAACTATGTATTTTAAAATGTATTGAGTACATGTACTTTAATTCTCTTTTTTCCATTTTTAATAAAATATTACTTTACTTTCTTAAAAAAAAAAAATGTATCTATACGAAATTTTAAAATTTCTTGCCTAGTATTCTAGTTGAGATAACTAGTTATGAAAGTGGATTTGGATGCAGTATTTTTCATTAGTCCAAATCCAGTGTCCTCAGCAACTTTTATACATCTCACCTTACTAGAATGAATAAATAATACTGTTATTAATCCTTACCATAAAACCTGATTTGTAAATGACTAAAGTAAAATTAATAGTAACTATAATTCACTTATTAACTGAATTAACACATAGCTTCTGTCGTTCATGAAAGTTAACGATATAAATAGCTCTTGGGCCACTACTGTGCTTGTCATATCCTAGCTAGCCAGATGAGTCCTGGTATTGGGTGAAAGATCTATCTTTGGTTGACATATTCATCTTTACTTTCACTCATAAATTCTTAGAATTACTAATGTAGTTTTTCTCCCATTGATGCTATGGTTGTTCAATCTGCTCTGGGAACATAAAGACTACTTTTCTGGTTTTCTAGCTCTTCTGAATGATTGTAAGTTATTTCAAATAGAATAATAATGATAATATAATATAAAAAAATCGATGTTATAAATAAATAATACTGTGTTATTACTCAATACCCTAAAAATCCAATCCGTAAATGACTTAAATAAAATTGATAATATTTACAGTTCACTTATGTAACCAAGTTTATACCATAAAAGTCTTTTTACATAAAAAACAAATGATGACATAAATAGCACTTGGACCACTATTATGTGTGTTGCATCGGAGCTGATCCAATGAACCCTGGTATTGTGCAAAAGGCCTTTTTGTCACTAGAAATGGCAGATATAATGTAGTTGACATATTATAACATATTCTTTATTTCACTCATAAATTTGTAGACTTACTAACTACACTGTTATTGAGGTCAGGAAAAGTAAAGCTCTGAAGGTTTGAAAAAAACCCTTTCAGTTCTTAACATCAAATTCAACTAAAAGGTATTATATTTATATAAAGTGCAAAAGAAGAGGGTGGGATAAAACTGAAGCCCTAAATTTCTAACTGAAACCTTATTATGGAGGCAAGGAAAAATATCTAAAACATGAAGCAATCTTTGTTTACAAATGTTTCATTAATGAGGATGATGAAGAAGTAACCTTAGATTTTACAAAGAGAAGGTTGTTTTGAAAGAGCTGAGGTAACTTCTTCAGAGTAATTCTCATGACCATAATAAAAACATTTTCCAAGAAATTAACTTTGTAGATGATGAGGCAACAATTATTTTTCTTAAGTTGCTGACATCTTGGGAGAATATTAATTGTTGGAGAATACTGAATTGATATCTATTTATAAACAATAGGGGTGAGTCTAGGTAAGACCTGGTAGACTATAGGCCAGGTTAACTTCTTTTGGCAAATATATCTTTCTGTAACATTTTGTTTAGAAAATTTATATGAAAGTTGTTACTAATTAAATATGTTTTTATAATAAACTAGATTTCTGTACAATTGATGGAAAGATCAAAAAGTGATTTGTTGGTAGAAAGCAATTAGAAGTGATTTATCAGAATTTACACCTTTCTGATAGAAATTGACCTGCATAAGGGTATAAAAAAAAACCAACATAATAGCCCCCAGTGGCACAGCGGTATGTCTGCGGACTTATACCGCTAGAAACCGGGTTTCGATACCCGTGGTGGGCAGAGTACAGATAGCCCTTTGTGTAGCTTTGTGCTTAATAATAAAGAACCAACATAATAGAAGGTCAATCATCTGTCGATGTCAATCCTCTTATCCACAAAAGTATAACAATAAAATTTATACCACTTAGCTATAGTCTCAGTTGAGGCTGTCTGTGACCTTATTTGTAGTGAGATGGAGTCACATTTTTGGTCCAGTAGTGTTTCTTCAGGGGGTTCTGAAGCTGCACTTGCAGATGATCCTGGACATTCTGGAGAGAATTTAGATTCACTTTTTCCAGCACTTTCCTTTATTTTGTCAGCTTCTCAGATGGTCAAATTAGGATTAGCTGCCTCTGGCTCCTTTTCTCCAGTTGGTAAATTGAGTGTGTGATGTTTTGGGTCTTTCCCCAGTTGCTTTCGAGTCTGCGCCTTCCTTGATGGTGGAAAGTTCTGAGGATGAATACTTAGTTCTCCCTCCATCCCCTCATATTGCGGTTCATGCAGGGAGGTTTACTGCTCAGTTACATGAGGGGACAGCTATGCTTTGTCTGCCACGTTTGTTGGAACATGCTTTAGCCTACCACCACCAAGTGGACGCATATATAGACTCTCAAGTAATAGACCTGCTCCTGGAAATATGGGATACCAGAACGGAGTCTGTGGTCAACTTGAATAGATCACAATTTTCCATGATTCATCTGACACTAACTACTGTCAGCAATTGCGACATCAATTTGATGATGAGGTGGGACCATTGTTAGCATCTATCTTGGTTCAGTTGTCAGCTTCTGCACTTTCCCTAGTTTCTTGGCTGGTATGTTGTTGGTTAGAGATATGTTGTTGGAGGGTGTTTGTCAACTGGCTGCCACTCTCCATGAGTTATGTGTGGCCCCTTTTCTAAGACTCTTGATATTTGTGATTGTTTCAGAGTCTTTGGAATCAAGAGTTGATTTCCTTGGCTCCTACAGGGGTCATAGTTCTGCTCCTACTAGTGTCCCAACCTGCAACATCAGCCCCTTGATCCATTGGTACTCAGAATAGATTCTGTCCATATCTATGAGGTTCCTCCACTCATTTGGAATGCCACCAGCAGCAGTGGTGACTATCATATGCCTTTGGGATCTGTGGGGGCTTAGCTCTGAGAATTACTGTAAGTGTGGAAAACCTTTATCATCCCAGAGAGAGTCATCCCAGTTCTTCCAGGGTTTTATTCCCATCTGTTTGTTGTACTGAAAAAGATAGGAGATTGGCATGCAGTCGTTGATCTTTCTCATCTAAATCAATTCCTAGATCCTCCAAGGTTCAGGATGGAGACATTCATCACTCTGTATTGGCATTTTTTACCATGACCAAGTTCGATGTTGTCAATGCCTATCTGCATGTTTTCATAACAAAGTTGTCCTACCACTATCTGCATTTTTGTGCACAAGGGTCAGGTGCTGCAGTTCAGGGCTCTGCCCTTCAGATTAGCATTAGCAGCATATATGTTCTGTCGATTCACATGAGCTTTTTCACATCACCTCCATTTCCTAGGCCTGTGCACTCACACCATGGATGTCTGGTTACTGCTGGCACCATCTCGTCTGTTGGCAGAACATCACAACTTTCAGAAGCATCCAAGGCAGGCTTTATTATCATAGCCATGAAATCTATTCTCACTCCAACACAATATATCATTCATCTGGGTGTCTTTTTCAATATGTATCTCAGTCAGGCTCAGCTAATTCTCATCCAGCTCCATCTTATGGAACAGGCATTCCATCTCTTACTCACCTCTCTTTCTCCAACTGCGAAGATGGTTCTTTCTCTTTTGGGGATGTGGGCATCACTCGAATCACACAC